ATTGGATTGTATCCTACTCAGTAGTGTACTTGGCCTAATGGTAAATTCATCCTGGCCATGCTGGATTCATCTGGACCACATTTTATATGATTTTGGGAAAATGTTGCTCCGGGCTCACCACATACACCCCATCACAACTGTGTAAATTTAATAAAACGATTTATGAGGGTGATATCAATTATAGTAAAATGAGAGGCTCCCTACAGCCAAGACTGACTGCCAAAACAGAAAAGGGGAAAGAAAACATCTTTTTGCTTCAGGCAGGCTTGCCATATGCTACTTTTATATATCCTCAGAAAGAAAATCCTTCATATCTCTAATTCATTTTTGTGAACCATGTACGTTCTGCTGGTTTGCTTTCCCAAATGCATTGAGTAAAATGAACAATATTTTAACTCACCTAGAAGCTAAAATTAAACCCTATCATGATTCATTCTAGATTGTTTATTTAATATTAAAATAGAGATGATCCCACTTACATTCTGTCAAGATGAAAAATTTACATATGTGGACATGTAATCTGTCTTCTGTTTTACAAACCCAAATGTCCTCCAGGGACAATATCGTTACCTCCAGGGATTTCTGTGCCATCTCCGCAAGTTGGGGTTTAACCTTTGTATGAGGGATGCAGTCAAAAGATGCTCAAGAATCTATGCACCCTGTTTCCTTTTCATCTATACATCTGCTCCTCTTCTTGTGCATTCATTAACCCACCTTGTTGCAGATATTATGTTTTTCTTTTGAAGAATAATGGGACAGCTTAATTTTTTGTTTCTTCCAGCAAAAGTTGAAAATGTCTCCTATGCTTTTGGGATAATACTGTGCTTGGGGTGATGCTGAGCAGTCTTCCGAAAATCTTAGCTTTATTTAAAGTAGGTGACCTACTTCAAGTACACATTTTTCACTACCTATCTTATGTTTTGTCTATGGAGGGCTCCCCCCTCAGACTATGAGAACTTTACTCCACAGTGTAACCTATGCTAATGGCTTGAAACATTCAGATCCATTTGACTACATTAATTTTGTGTACAAGATCATCAGGGGTTCTGCATTATGCATGCACGTACCACTCCTGTCCTAGATTCGTCAAAAGGATTAACAGTTTTTAGTTAGGCGGGCAGAAAATTTTGGCTAATTGCTTGGATGATTAGACCCCTTTTGCTTTGCAAGTAAAATCCAACTGTTTGCAAGAACAATTTTGCATTTAAACACCAAGTCTTGATTATAGTTGCCACCTGCATTTCAGATTTTTTGTTTTAATCTAGAAATAATACCCTGTTGCCTTTACATGATCCTACCAGCTACTCTCTGCATTCTGGAGTTCAAGAGCCACCTTGCACAATGGGAAAGCACCTATTGCATTTACAGAAGTATCCCCACCATTTGCAAGAGCAACAGAGTGCTACTGCAGAAGCATCTGTCTTGAATCTTCTATTTTTATTTTCTTGATCAGGGTAGGGGTGGATGTGATTCAGACAGAAGATTCTAAATCCATCTATGTTTGCATCCTTGACAGAGCACTAGGGAAGCTAGGGGACAGGCTGTCATGAGGGGTCCCTTCCTTCCTTGCCTTTGGTTCCAAAACTCAAAGCAGTCCTTTGAAGTGCAGCTCTTTTATGGAGGCTCTGTAGATAACAGAACAGTTTGGGCTCCAAACAGCCTTCTGCCCAAAGCTAAGAATAAAAGCTGCTGCTCATGCGAAGAACTGAATCCAACCTCGAAACTTTCTCTCAGCCCATCCCCTTCAGTAAAGCTTCGAGCTCCACCCTCACGGTGGCTCTCACTGCGGGAGACCAAGTTGATGGAAACAGCAAAACCCCTCCAGTTGAGTGGCTTGTTTCTTGCAGTCCAAGACGGATGGAGGACCTAAATTGTTATGCCCTACTTTGCCCTTTTAATGGGGGAAACAACATGGGGTCAGGTTATGATAACTTCTCAGGTTCCAAAGTGAAATGTATTAATTTTCTGCTGGCAGATGTAGTCTCCATATTAGTTATCTGTAGCCATTCTTACCATGGTATCTTGAAAATTATAAAGAGTATTTTATCTAGAAACCCATCTAGACAGTTGGGCAAATCAGATTTGGACCTCTTTTTTACTCTTTGCATTTTGTTTAACTATTGTGGTTATAATTATTTTAGCTACTTGGTTGTGGCTTGTAGCTTGGTTGGAGTTTGTCTGCGTGTTCCAATTTTGGTATTTATTGTGATGTGATTACAACAATAAATAGACTCCTACTTCACTGAAAGCTGCTCCAAAATTAAATTCACCCCTTAGGCAGAAGGATGTTGGACATCCCTGCTGTGGTGTTTGTATTTTCTCCTCTTCTTTGAGTATGCCTAATTGCCATGACTTCTCACGCACAGGCCCGGTTCCACCCATGAGTTGACTGCGTGCCTGGAATGCCCTACAGGAATTGCTACCAATTGCTCCATCTGCACGGCCAGAGTTTTGTGCAGTAGAGATCAATGAGCAGGGACTCTCTTCACCTTTGGGTTTAACAGAACCTGCTTTAAATACAGGATTTTAGGCTTGAGGAGCCAGTTGAGTCTCCATCGTGTTTGTTTCTGCATTGTAACTTGTTAGCTTCTTAATTATCAACTAGGATTTCCACAACAATGGAGGGAAATATATTGTTTGTATAACATAATCTTAATTATAACAACAAAAAAGAATTCAGTTGAAATACTTATACTTCTTTCTTCAAAGGTAAAGATGTACTCCTAAAGAACTTAGTTTTCCTTTCATAATTCCCACTTTGAAAGCAGTCTGGCACTACTGAAATAAATGTGAGGCTTCCCTCTAGAAGCAGTGGATTGAGGACTATAGCTTTTCTATATGGGATGAGGCATTAAACTACAACCTTACCCTCATCCCCCTTTCAAGATTTTTTAATCATGCTCTGCCTGGCAGAAACTGCATGCCAAAGTAGCTTTTTATTAGCTCATTATTAAAACCATGATTAGCAAAGGGTAATCTACAGGTGATCAGAATTTCAGGAAAAGGAAATATGAACCAAAACTGTACGACTGAACTGTTATGAATGGCAGATTAAGAAATTTCTTAGTGCATAAGTTTTTATGGACCACCATCCACTTCATCAGATTCATGAACTATTACGCAGTAACTTATAAGTGTTTCAAACAATTGATTAATGCACATTAATTAGAGTTGCTGGTTGAGATATGCTGAGAGTTAGAGGACATGTTTCTGTCTAAACTTGCGTATGATTGCATTCTTAATTGATTAGGAGCTCTTCAGCCAATGGTTCAGAGTAGCTTAGAAGGAATAAAGTGATAATTTACAATAGAGTCCCTTGAAAGAGAAAGAGAGAGAGAAGCAAAAACACACACACACACACACACACACACACAGCTGAATCCATTTAAAAGATATGGCTAAATAAAAAGGATCCCACCTGAAATCTCTCGATAAAGGCGCTTCTTTGTGTGTCTTCCAATTCTTCTTCCCTCATACCACTCATCCCAACAGTGCCAGAGTCTCCATGTCAGTGAGCCAGAACGGTTATCCTTCAAGCTGAACTGCCCTTTGTACTAAGGCTATTTGCAGGCAGTGTTCAGCACCCTGGACAGCTCCTTCAAAGTCCCGATTACATCCAGGAGCAGCTGTCCACAGCCTGCCCTGACACAGTCCATGTAGATCCAGAATTTGGAGCTGGTAGCAGTAGAGCTACCTGTACCTGAATGGAGATTTATAGTGAAGATCTGCCTGTTGATAAGCTTGCTGGGATGCGATAAGAAGCATGGGCAATCTCGTCTAGTTTTCTTCACCTCCTCCCCATGAAAGGAAGAACCAAAGTATGTGCCATGCAGGAATTAAAGCGTATGCCACAAATAAGTAAATTACAGCCCTGGTTTGCTTTGCCTGCCCTTTGAACTGTATGTTCAAGATTAGAATTCAACATTTTCATCAATCTCTCTCAAGGCGAGCTACTAACATCCATTTACAGAAAGCTGCTGGCTCTTATGCTGCAGGTTTTTATTTTTTGCCTGAGCTGACTTGTTTGCCTTTCACAGCCCTCAGATGTAACCACTTCCATTTATGTTCATATTGCATATGCAGCCATTAGGAAGCCTTGTTTTTTGTAAAACCTAAGCACTGGTTGGCTAACATGGCCCATAAAGATCCATTGCAAGGATGAATTCTATTTAATAATATTTCTATCCCACCTTTTCTGCTCTTTAACCAATTTTCTAAAACAAGTAAAAGCCAATCTGAAAATCCATTATTCTCAAACAAAAGAGCAGTGCCAAACATGTAATTCTTCCAGAATTTAGGAGAATGAACTTAATAGCTAGAACATTAGGTTGGTGGAAAACAAATGCCTTTACAGCAAAAACGCTCTGTCCTCAGTCAGCATCTGCATAACTTCCAAAGATGGAAGATCCTGGAATAGGACCTAAGATCATCTCAGAGAATGCAAAGCTTCTTCGTGGCCCAGTCTGGGCAACTACTCTAGTTCTGGCTTATTGTCATGGTTTCTTGACTGACCTTACCAGTCCAGTTGTCATAGAGAACTCTTCCTTTAAGGAAACTAGGCTCTTCACATGGGAGCTAATATGATGAGAGGAGAGGAGCAGATTGTTTCCAGTTTCATAAACCTTCTCAGGCATGGCATCATTGTCCAAACCAGACCACTATCTAGTGAGATAAAATTGTTCTGTCATCCTATTCTTTCCTGAATTTAAAGGTACAGATGGAGTGTCTCAAGGATATTTTTCTATTGCTGTGCTATTTATTTAATTTCTCGCAATAATTAACTGGCTAAGAGATTTCAGTAGAAGAGATCATTACGAGTGCATTTATGTCCCCCTTACGGAAAATTGCTTGCAGTTGCAAGAATTCTTGGACCACCTATCATTGCATTAACAGGGTCAACACTAACTCTTCTCCTTTCTTTCTATTTGTCTCTTCCAGGGCCATTTCTGTAAGGGGTCCGCACCTGTTGCTTTCATGACTCTGGGCCTCATTAATCAGAGATGGAGCAGATGGACTGCAAACCCTACCAGCCACTGTCAAAGGCGAAACATGAAATGGATTTAGCCTACACAAGCTCTTCAGATGAAAGTGAAGATGGGAGAAAAGCAAGGCGATCTTATGAATCTAGGGAAACTCTCAATGAATACGGACAAGAACTCAGACTGAGTTACAACAGCCACAGCAGAAAAAGGAAAGCTGTTGACGAACCCACTCAAGGTACTTGTTTTCCTTCATAACAGCAAATACCCCAGACAATTGCACTAGCTTTCCAAACACTTTGGTGACCACCAGCATCAATGGCTTCTTAATTCCATACCACACTGAGACAAGTCATCTTTCATTCCATGCTTCCACAGGGAAAAGGTTACTGTGGGATCTTGCGCCTACCCCAAATGTGCTTCAACTAATGTCAGCAATGTCAGCAAACCATGACTTATGCTAATGTTTACTCTCATTGCTGCAGTTGAGTCTCTCCACATACTTGAAAAATATATTCCATGTTCATGGAGTTGGCCCATGTGCAACTTTTGCTGTGAGGCAATTGTGGATGTCTACATACCAGAAGAAAGAGGGAGAAATTACAGAAGTGGATTGCTGAACAGTGACAATGGAAGGGAGGGAGACATCAAGGAAATGAGTGAGGGGGAAGCTTGCTTAGCTTTGTTCATGAAGCGCATTAGAAGAATAGCATGACCTTCAGTAGCACAGTGAATCCAAAGGCAGGTGTGTCCATGGGAGAGGTTTTACCAGGCAGGATTGGGGGCTGCAGAAATACGAGGATGGATAGTAAACTGCAGGATTCCAGCTGTGAATCCAGCAGAGTATCTGCCAGTGAGTGTACTTTCCAGGAATGTGCAGTATTCAAGGGTTTACGTCTACTTAGTATGCAGCCTTTGAGGGGGAAAATCCTACAACACAAAGTATTCCCAGCCAACCATGATTTCATTTCTTATCTCTTACCGCTGAATCAGAAGATGTGATTGTCCACATACCACATTTCAGAAAATGTTTACTTTTACGTTTGTGTGCGTGTGAAAAGTCTTAGCTTTTAAGCTCTAAAAGTATGATATTGACATGTTTGTGACATGTTACCAGTTTCAAAACCTGCCTGTGTGGTTTCTTCCTTGTTACTTGTTCCCTGAAGCTGATTTTCTCACTTGTTCCAAATAACCTTTTGGAAATATATTTCTGTAGGAAGGACTGGTTTTGTTCTCATGGTAAGTTCTCTTCCTCTTCCAGCTCCTGGCTGATTCCTATCACATTTTCTTAGGAACTTAGAAAATCAACACTGAATACAGATCCATCTATGTTTTATGTTTATATTTTGCATGAGTGTTACACAAAATCAAATACTGTGTTTCTTCTGGAACATTCAATCTATGATAAATTGCACCATTAAAGAAAATCACATTAGTAATGTCACTGTCAAGAAAGCCACAATTAACCAATAATAATCAAAAGAGACAATATTTGGGCGGGAATGTTCCAATGGAAGTCTAGAAAGAAAACTGAACCACTTAATCCAAATTAAGAGAGAGCATACCTTTATTTTATCTTGCTATTTTCCTTTAGTGATTCAGCTTTTATTCGTCATTTTGCTTGTCTGTTTAAAGAAGACCAGTGTTGTCTTCCAAATATAATCTGAATCCAAAACTGAAAGAGAAGCATAATGGAGCACAGACCAACACAGAGTCAGACAGAATTACAGTTTGAAAAGTTGAAGCAAGAGCTGCCTCCATTTACCATCAAGCCCATGCAGGTATTCTTACTGAATAGGGCAAACATGTGCCAAAAGGGAATGCACTGACCCTGCACTTCTCCTTTGTGGCCCTCTGCTCAAGGACACGAACCGTCCTGTCTCCTTGGAGCATCTCGAAGTGGGCCAGAATGAAGGTTTTCCAACCCTCTGAATCACACCGAGAGCCACCGAGGACACAGGGGACTTTCCTTTCCAGTCACGCCCCATAAGTAGTGGGCAATGAGGGCAAGTAGTAAAAGAAGTGGGACAGGGCTGGAATGCTGCCTCTCCTCCCACGTTTACTCCGTTCAGATGCAGAACCCCCAAATGAGGCTTAAATCTCTTGTTGGATCTCTGCATGTCGTGAGCGGAGCCGGATGGAGCCATGGGTCAGACTAGATGGCCTGGGAACCCCCTTCTGACTCGCTCTGTTCCTATGTTTCCCTGCCCTAAAGACAAATCAGGCAGTGAGAAAGGGTGGCTTTAAAAGGGGAACTAAAGGAAGCCCAATACACAAATAAATCCACTACTTTTTCAAAATGAGCAAAGCTTTCTCATAAATATATAAATATGTGGAAAAATATATAAATATATAAATATGTGGAAAAAATTTAGACTGCCTTTATCCGAAGGCATTATGGCCATTTATTAGGCATGAATGCAATAAATCTTGCTAAAAACATAACACGCAATAATAAATAAAATAGACTGACATATGAAGTGAGGTTAAAGGAAATGGTAAAGCTGTGGATGACTTTCTTTTTGAGATCATAACAAAGAACGTAATCAAGCAAAATAGAGGGTGCCTTGATTCCTTTTCCACTGCAACTTTAATTTGATTTATCTCTGAACCGAGATATTGATCTAGCATTAATGAATGAATTAGCAGCTGAGAAAATTGGGGCAGGCTATAAGGTAATGTAGACCATTATCAATTAATTATACACTAGTAGCATGTTATCCTGAAGAAATTAATTTTATAAACTGTCTTTTTGTATTAAAGCATTAATGAATGGGTGCATTATTTAGTTACTGGATATATTAACGGACATCTTATAACAAAACAATAACAGATTGATGTATATGTTAATGCATTCCTAGGTTGGGTAGCAGTTAAGTGGAAATATGTGAAAATGTAGTTTTTTATCATTCAGCAATCAATCTAATGAATCAGAGTGTTCTTAAGGGTCAATTTAAGAAAAGGGGACTTTAATTGTTTGTGAGAGAGAGGGTGGGGGAAGATCAGATTTGGGACTGAAGTACGGATGCAGAGTGGGATAGAAATACATCACAAAGTCCAGCCCAGGGTGAAATTTCAGTAGCATGATGAAAACTGAAGTGGCTAAGACAGATGTCAGGTTGATGGATAGTTATTAAAAATTTACTTCCCTACATCTGTGTATTTCTTGGGATTTCCAGAATTGGTAAGATTTCCTGGGGCTAATCAAAATTGCTGACACAGAGCCTCCTCTAAAACAGAAGGGGAGAAATGGAGAGATGTGGAGAGAACACTTGTGCAGGGCATTTCAGGACATCTTTTGAGAGATGGGTTGATGCCGGGCAACCCAGGGGGTATCTTCACTCGAGGACTCCAGTAACTGGAGTTCTTTAGTTGCTAGGGCAATTTCCTTAGCGTGGTCAAGTGCCCTACTTTATGGAGAAGAGTTCTCAGTTTGAAGGTATCCTCAGTTTAAATGGCTTCCCAGTCTAAGATTCACTTAGTGATGTAGAACCAAAGAAGGTAGAACAAGTCCTTCAAGTAGCCCATCAGTGGATAGACAGTTCAAGCCAAGCTATCAAAATTACAGGCTCCCCAGTCATATTCCGGTTTATTATTGTGAGCTGTATTGTATTGATATTTGAGTTCAGTGTAAGGAAAAAAAGGACATACATCTAACAAATACATACAAATGAATAAATAAATATTTAGACTATATAGCAATTCTGTCTATTGAGTCAGACATCGTTTTAATTTTGTTAGAAGATAAATACTATTGACGAGATGTGAATGTTTAAACAAATAAAGGCATAGACAGCTAAAAATACATTCTGTATGATCCAGACCAAGTTAATTGAACTTATGTCCTAATGAAATCAATGGGACAAGTTAGCGATGATTTAAGTCCCAGGAGATAATCGAATAGTACAGTCATGACTCAATGTATAAAGTGAATAAAGTCAAGCCAGAAGCATTTGCTATTAATTTCTCAGGTGATATAAAACAGCAGATATCCTTATATACTTGACCAAAGGGACTGTGAAACTTAAGCACTTGGGAATAATGTTGGCAATTGATTTGATGCAGTTATAATAAACATAATTGTGGCTCTCCAATGGGAGGAGTTGAGAGTGATTTTGCTCAATGCAACAAATTAAAGCTCACTTGATTGTTCAAGTGTCTCTGCAGTTTTTATGTCAGCCCTACCTAGATGTTCTGTCGTATTTATTATACTTACTTGATGAGGGTTTGAACTGCTGACACACTGATATTTGAGAGAGTTCTGTTTGGGTAGAAAAAAGGACTAAGAGTTAGCTTTTCCACACCTCACAAGAAACTGGGAGAAGGATAATTTTCCGTTTAAAATGAATGGTTTTATTATGCAAGAACTGTAGCACTCAGAGTAATGTAATGGCTTGGTATATAATAGAGAAGGAAGAAGTTGAGAAAGAAAGGGGTGAGGTAGCCATAAAATGCAAATAGTACAATATATGACAAGAGAGAATCAATTTGACAGCAGTGGTAATTGGTGATGATACTATCATCCTGTTTTATTTAGCACCTATAGTAGGAAAGGAAACTGTTTATACCAGTTGCTGTAGACTTTGGGCAGTGGAGGTCTTGCACCATTCTGCTGGAGGGATCCCATGGGCAGCTGGTTGGCCACCATGTGTGCAGAGTACTGGGCTAGATGGACCTTTGGTCTGATCAGCTGTTCATGTTCATTGTCTTGATTCAGGCTGAAACAAATAGAACCACACTTCCCGATTCCCTCTCCATCAGTTCCATACTGCAACATCATTTTGAAATTCCTTTGTAGAAGAATGGCAATGGGATTTTATTTGTTTAGGTCTGAACAGCAGAGGCCCAGGGTGGGAAGATTGGGAATCAAACTTTTAAGAGCCCTCTTCTCATTTACGAGCCCCCAAATTCTATTCAGAGCCTGGCTTAGGAAAACTTAACATCTCATCTTTTATTTATTTATTTAAAACTTCTTTTAGACTGTCTCTTACTGTAGTCTCAGGACAGTTCAACAATAAGACAAAACAAAACACAGCATCCTAATCAAATTCTTAACCGATCAACAACAAAACCCATTTTAAAAACAGTCAAACCTTAAAACATTGGGAAAATAAGAAGGTTTTAACCTGGCATCGAAAATAATAAAGTGATGGTTCTGGGTGAACCCCTCTGGGAAGCTAATTCCACAGTCGGGGTGCCACCACAGAGAAGGCCCTTTTTCCTTTTTCAGTTATCTAT